AAAGTGCTGGGATTATAGGCGTGAGCCACCGCACACGGCAATTTTTTGCTTTTTTTAGTAGAGATGGGGTTTCACCATGTTGGCAGGATGATCTCGATCTGACCTCATGATCCACCCACCTCGGCCTCCCAAAGTGCTGGGATTACAGGTGTGAGCCACTGCACCCAGCCCACAGCCCTTCTAATGCCACCCTCCTGACACCAGCACTGTGGCCTCTCCAGGATGGGACACTACCCGAAAGAGTGAGAATAAAGCATGTAGTGTTGGCTATCACATAACCTAATTTGAATTTCTGCTCCACCACTTAATAACTGTGTATGCTTGGGAAAATTACACGAGCTTTTGGGCTCTAGTTTCAGGGCCTCTTAAAGAGCCATTATGGTAGCCCTTAATTTATAGGGTTGTTATGAAGACTGGTTAAGAGAATGTTTATAAATTGGGTGATGTATAGTAAGTGTTCATAGAAAGATCAGCCACCGCTTCCTATTCTTATATTTATTCTCATTACATTCGTGGAAGTGCAGAGATGCAAGAACACACACATAACGGAGAGTCTGCACACACGTCTTCAATCTCAGATTCTGACACTCATGAGCTGTCTGACCCTAAGCTATCTAGTTTCTCTCAGATTACTCATTTCCAAAATGGATAATAAAATACTAAACTGGAGGCTGGGCACGGTGGCTCACATCTGTAATCCCAGCACTTCGGGAGGTCGAGACAGGCAGATCACCTGAGCTTAGACATTTGAGACCACCCTAGGCAACGTGGTGAAACGTGGTCTCCACTAAAATATGAAAAATTAGCCAGGTGTGGTGGTGTGCTCCTGTAGTCCCAGCTACTCGGGAGGCTGGTACATGAAAATCTCTTAAGCCTGGAAGGTGGAGGTTGCAGTGAGCCAAGATCACACCATCGCACTCGGGCTTGGGTTACAGAGAGAGATTCCTTCTCAAAAGGAAAAAAAAAAAAGTAACTAACGTGGAGTTGCTATGACGGTTAAATGAGAGAGTGTCTTGAGGTGTCTGGCACGTAGTAGGTGTTCAGCATGGACTCCTTTTACATCCAAGTTGTTACCCTCCTCTCTGCATCATACTTATCATTCTCTCTTTCTCCCTTTATTTCTCTCTCTCTCTCTCTCTCACACACACACACACACACACACACACACACACCCCTCTGTATATCCTTCCCATCATCTTATTTAACCTGGCCATAAACAACTGGACAGTTTCTGGCTATAATAATGCTTAAACCATTCCAAATTCACCACATCCTATCATATATCAAAGGAATTGACCACGATAAGCAGTGGTACAGCTGGCAGTGCACCAGGCCACCATTTAGCCAGCCCTGAAGAGACAGTAAAGATGTCTCTTGAATTTTTAAGCTTATGAGATGGAAAAAATGTAACTGACTAATATTCCAGGAAGCAGGAAAGATGTGATACCTTTCCAGATCCATCATAAGGATCAAAGCTGAAACACCATAGCAAAAGACAGGCTAACAAGAGAAAAGCATAACAATTTAATCAAACTTTTCCATGACATAGGAGCTTTCAGGAATAATGATCCAAAGATCCAGAGAAAATGGTTTATTTTTATGCTTAGACTTAGTAAAGAGTAGACAGCCATGTGGAAATGTAATTGGAGAAAACCAGGATGATCTAATGGTAACAGACTTGGGGAGAGTTAACCCAGAAGGACCTGTCTGTTCAGATTCTTTTTGGCCTCTCTATGTAGCACTTCCTCCTCCTGGGCATGGGACAGAAACAGAGCCCCCCGCTCCCCACCAAAGGAGGCTCTTATGACCTACTATCAGACAAAGTAAGTCACAGAATTTCTTTGCGGCCAGCTCCTACACAGAAGGCAGGGGAAGGTTAGAGTAATATTGCTGGTTTCTATGACCAGCCTGGGGAAGAAGAATTCTAATTTCTCTTTTTGTTGATGTTGTTACTTTTTTGAGACAGAGTCTTGCTCTTGTCGCCCAGGCTGGAGTGCAGTGGCACGATCTCAGATCTCAGCTCACTGCAACCTCTGCCTCCTGGGTTCAAGCGATTCTCCTGCCTCAGCCTCCCAAGTAGCTGGGATTACAGGTGTGTACCACCACACCTGACTAATTTTTGTATTTTTAGTAAAGACAGCGTTTCGCCATGTTGGCCAGGCTGGTCTTGAACTCCTGACCTCAGGTGATCCTCCAGCCTCAGCCTCCCAAAGTGCTGGGATTACAGGCGTGAGCCACAGCACCTGGCCTAGAATCCTAATTTCTATGTCTTGCCATTGAGGAGAAAGGAGAGGAGACCTCAGGGCAGGGGAATGTTGGAGAGGGAGACTTTGCTTCTGAGGTCTTTCAATCTCCTTTAGTTCTAAGTATTCAATAAGCCAAAGCATTATATTTTGGGGTGTCATTTTCTGAGCCCCAACAGTGGCATCAGCCTGACCTAGCACCAGCCTGACCTGGCACAGCTACTCCCTGAGAGAAGCAATGAAATCTGGAGACGGGGTCACATTTCCATGATGACAGTGGATTATTATGTGGGGACAAAGTGGCGCTTGAAGAGAAAACCTAGAGAGATAATGAAATCCAGGGTTAATCTCCCAAGAAGCTGCTAAACATCATGAAATTCCAGGCGTGATTGGAGTTCTGTGTCTAAAGCAGACGCGGTGGGAAGATCTGCTCCCAGGTGAAACTGTTAGACTGAAGCAGACTAAAGAAAAAGGACAAGGCCAGGCGCGGTGGCTCACGCCTGTAATTCTAGCATTTTGGGAGGTCGAGGCAGGTGGATCACGAGGTCAAGAAATCGAGACCATTCTGGTCAATATGGTGAAACCCCGTCTCTACTAAAAATACAAAAATTAGCTGGGCATGGTGGCGCGTGCCTGTAATCCCAGCTACTCAGGAGGCTGAGGCAGGAGAATTGCTTGAACCCAGGAGGCGGAGGTTGCGGTGAGCCGAGATCGCGCCATTGCACTCCAGCCTGGGTAACAAGAGCGAAACTCCGTCTCAAAAAAAAAAAGAAAAGAAAAGAAAAAAAAAGGACAACTAATAGTCATATGGAATTCTGAATAGGATCCCAGAACTAAAAAAAGACGATAGTTGAAAAACTAATGAAATTGAAATAGAGTCTACATTTAGTTAGTATAACGCCAATTTTAATTTCCTGGTTTTGGTAATTGTATTATGGTTATATAAGATATTAGCCTAAGAGGAAGGTAATTTGGGACCAACCCTGACATTGAGAATAAATAAATTAAAAAGCTGGAATAAATGATTGAGGCGTAATTTACATGCAGCAAAATGTACAAATTTTACATTAAAATGTTTTGCATCAAAATATTTTTATGTAATACACCCATGTGGCCTCAAACTTACACATCCAACCCAGATCAAGATAAGCACTGCCTCCCTCATCTTGTGTCACAAGTCTATGGTGTTAAAAGTCAATGTCATGATTAACTTTGGGAGAAAACAATGGAGTCGTGATTAGGAAGGGGACTTACAGGGCCCTGGTAATGTGCTTTTTCCTGATCCCCGTATTGGTTATATGATTGAGTTTATCTTTTGATTATTAACTGAGTTGTATACTTATGTTTTGTACATTTTTCCATATTTATATTATACTTCTGTTAAAATACATATTTATCAAGCTGGCGGATCACTTGAGGTCAGGAGTTTGAGACCAGCCCAGCCAACATGGTGAAATGCCATCTCTACTAAAAATACACAAAGTAGCCAGGTATGGTGGTGCACTCCTGTAATCCCAGTTACTTGGGAGGCTGAGGCAGGAGAATTGCTTGAACCCGACAGGCAGATGCTGCAGTGAGTGAGCTGAAATCATGCCACCTGCACTCCAGCCTGGGTGACAGAGCGAGACCCTGACTCAAAAAAGAGGGGGTTGGTATTTAAAAAATATTTTGGTCTTTTTTTTTTTTTTTTTTTTTTTTTTAGGAAGGGATGGAGCATCACACTTAATGTGGCTCAGGAAACCAAGCAATAGAAATCATTTTAAAGTCTTTCAGATCCTAGGCACTAAAATTTGTGCCTGGGCCATGTTTTCCAAAATTCTCCAAGGGACAAGGTATCCCCAAGTGACATCTGGGCTATTACAGGGTAGTTCATCTGGCAACAGCATTCCAGATGAAAGAATGACCACTTTAAGGGAATGAGGTTGGCATTTAGAAGAAGACTTTGCTCTTCTTCAAATGAAACGTCAGGAATGCTTAGTCCAATAGGAGCTGAGCGGGACCAGCAAGTCCACGGTCCAGCTCCAGGAATGACTCTCTTAGGCATGAGAAACAGCAAGAATTGCCTTCCTTTATTATTCAAATGAAATTTATACTCCTCCAAGAATATTCTGAGAGTTTTTAACTTAACGAGGTGTAGTAGTAGCTACTTGTTTGATTTTAGCAGTTAGGAAGAGTGAGCCAAAAAAAGAAATGATCAAAACAAACAAACAAAAAGTTTTAACAGGTCAATACGTTTTAAAGGAAGAATTTGTTTTAAAATCAAAACAGAAACTAAACGAACCCTGCAAAAACACAAGGGGGCAGCATTTCATAACATTACAAATGAAGAATGCTGAGTCAGCTTTTTGGGGTAAAGATACATACAATTAAACAAAGAGGTTATCAAAGTGAGTCGCCCTATGTAACCTTAAGTCACAGAGATCAAGAGTGGCAAAACAAGGACCATCACTAACGTTTCCCACTGTCAACTGAGTATTTTTCTTTTTCTTTTGTTTGAGACAGGGTTTTTGCTCTGTTGCCAAGGCTAGAGAGCAGTGGTGCGATCTCTTCTTACTGCAACCTTCGCCTCGCGGATTCAAGTAATTATCCAGCCTCGGCCTCCCAAATAGCTGGGATTACAGGTGCACACCATCATGTCTGGCTAATTTTTGTGTTTTTAGTAGAGATGAAGTTTCACCGTATTGGCCAGGCTGATCTCGAACTCCTGACCTCAGATGATCCACCTGACTCGGCCTTCCAAGCCGCTAGAATTACAGGCATGAGCCACCATGTCTGGCCTAATTGAGTATCTTTCCACGTTGTCTCATATAGTGTTCCTGGATTAAAGATCCCTGCTTCATGCTGAAAATGACTGACTTCTCTCCAAAAGACCCAGGGATAAGGTTTCCATTTTCTGTGGACACTGATTGGGGCATAGGTGACTGATACCTTGTCACTAAAGATGAATAGTTCAACTGGAGTAAAGCATGAATCAACTTCCAGAACAGACCTATGCTGTCAGTGTAATTATGCGCTAATCTTCAACATCAAGGAGGCCATAAGGGAATGGGTAGGTTGGAGCAGTTTTAAACATGTGTTTTGCAAATGTTAAAAGGGTGCATTTTCATTTCTCTCTTGAATCATGTTTTATTGCATTCTCTTAACCTACTTGCCCGGTTTAGAAAGACAACGAAGTCAGGCTTTCTGAGGAGAGAAAAATGAGGATTTCCGACAGCACTTTGTAGAGCCTGTCTTTAAATCAAGGTCAGGCCTGAGGGATGAATTTGCAGTTTTTTATAACATGGGGAAGCTGCTTTTTCTACCCATGACAGTCAAGCCCTGAGGCTTGTGCTCCATGCGTAAAGGTGACTACCATGTCAGGGAATAGGAAAAAATCTCGCCTCTTCTAACTGAAGGGATTGCGGGAAGAAGGTATATGGAAAGAGGGAGGATGAAGTGGTCGTGTGTTTGTTTCGGTTTTTCCTCTTGGAAATAAAGCCTGAAGCCTGAAGAAAGCCAATGGGAAGAGAGATTTCTAACCTTCTTCCCAGTCAGGACTCTAGAAGTGATGGCCACTTCTTAGCTGCCCAACTTGGCAATGGCCATGCCAAAGTAAACCTGGCTGTCCTTTGTGGTCAGCAGAGGAAGGAAATGACTCTGAGCCTCCCCAGACAGTTTTCTGTAGAGGGTCCATGAGATCCTGAGGCTCCAAGAGAGACCGGAAGGCAGCAGTGTGGAGACCCTGAAGCTGTCCCATGTGCCCACTGCATCATAGGATGGGGCCACCCCAAAGCAGAACCTGGATGTGGGTGGCAGAGCCAGAGGGCCAGGAGGAAGACACAGCGGAACCAGGGTATCTGTAGGGCCAGAAAGAGCCAACGTGACACTGACACAGCCAAAGAGGAACGCAGGCCCTAGCCAGGCAGAGAGAAAACGGATCACAATTTACAACCGCTTCGGCCTTGCTAAAAGCTGAAGACACAGAACTGTCCTCCTACTTAGACCCGACTCCATTAAGTTGAAAGCAGGACAGCATTCCTCCCTCCCTTTCCTAAAGGTGCCTATTAGCCTACTTCTTCTTTTCTGTTTGATTCAGTAATAATCCCCTTATGTCCCTATTTCTCTAGGGACTTTATATCAAGCCCCTAGTACTGAAGCAGAAAACAGCTCGAATGGCATTGAACTGGAAACCTTCTCTCTTTGTTAATTCCCAGATGGTGTTCCAAACTCTTGGGTCCCAAGACGGCTTCGTCCTTCACCGGGAATGCTTTGTGACCTGGCACACTGCCTGGGAATTCAAAAAGAAGCCACTGATTTCCCCAACTCTTCTGGGAATCTTAGGCCTGGGGACCAGCGATCAGCCCAAACTCATCCACCCAGGGCATATCACGCTAATAGGATGCCTGTTAGCCTGACTTGCATAATCTGGGCATTCTCTCAAACGCCCCGTGAGATAAGTAGCCACAGGTATGCAGTGAGGCCTTTACTCTGAGACCCTGACTATTGTTCTGAGGAATGATAACCAGAGATGAATGATGATGTTCCCAGAAGAAACAGAGTCCAGGCAATCACCGAGGACAGAACTCCTGAAGCTCTTCCTGCAAGGCGGTGGGAGTTGGTATGCCTGCAGGTCTAAGGCTCTCAGATAACTCTCTCCACTGGCCTAGGCAAGAATTCAGGAGACTTGGTAAAGGAGTCCTGTGAGAGGATGAGAGATTTTGATATCAATTAGTTACTTAGTTAGTTAGTTAGACTTATGACTGGTAACCTGGCCACATCTCCTGAATTCAAACCCCATCCCTGCCACTTACTGGGTGACTTTGGGAAAGTTGCTTAACCTCTCTGTGCCTTGGCATTCTAATCTGTATAATGAGGATATAACACTACCTGCCTTAGAGGGTTATTGCAAGGATTAAATGAGACAGAACAAAGTATTCCATGTAAAGTATATGGTGTCTGACACAATAGAAAGGTCAATATATGTTATGTGTTCTTATTATTACCTTAATGGGATTAGCTTCCTTAAAGAGACAAAGCTTAAGCAAATTCTAGAAAGCAGCATATCTTCATACCTAGATAGAAGTAATCAACACAAAATTATACTTAATTAAAATTTATGGGCACATATTCTAAACCCTAGCCTACTAAATAGTCAATCCTGTATGTAAATAATATGATTCCCTCTACCTTTATTTCTAGGAAGAATTATTAATGTTCTGTGGTAAATTGTCTAATCAAGACTGTACTTATAACCAAGGTAGAACATTATTAGTAAAACAGCATTCAGGGCAGGCACTGTGGCTCATGCCTGTGATCCCAACACTTTGGGAGGCCGAGGCAGGCAGATCACATGAGGCCAGGAGTTCCAGACCAGCCTGGCCAACATGGCAAAACCTCGTCTCTACTAAAACTACGAAAATGAAGTGGGTGTGGTGGTACATGCCTGTAGTTTCAGCTACTTGGGAGGCTGAGGTAGGAGAATCCCTTGAACTTGGGAGGCAGAGACTGCAGTGAGCTGAGATCACACCACTGCACTCCAGCTCGGGTGACAGAGCAAGACTTTGTCTCAAAAAAGAGAAAAAAAAAAAAAATAGGCCGGGTGTGGTGGTTCATGCTTGTAATCCCAGCACTGTGGGAGGCCAAGGTAGGTGTATCACCTGAGGTTAGGAGTTTGAGACCAGCCTGGCCAACATGGTGAAACCCCGTCTCTACTAAAAATACAATAATTTGCTGGATTTGGTGGCACGCGCCTGTGATCCCAGCTACTCGGGAGGTGGAGTCAAGAGAATCACCTGAACCTGGAAGGCAGAGGTTACAGTAAGCCAAGATCATGCCATTGCACTCCAGCCTGGGTGACAAGAGTGAGACTTCATCACAAAAGAAAAAACAAACAGCACTTTATGGAAGAACTGGGGCCTTCAGAAGATGCAGAGGCACAGCTTTTGCCAGCTTCTGATCCTTTCAGTCTGGGATTACGAAGGCGTGAGCTAAGGGGATCGTTAGGCCTGCAGAAGTGTTTTGTTTCATCAGGGCAGTGATTTGGTTCTATTTCGTTTTAACACAAACACTGCTGTGCGTTTGAATGCTTTAGGAGGAGCGCACCGTCTACAGCTAACCACAGTCTCTTCACTCACGTCGCCTTAGTCCCTGCCTCTGCACACATTTCCATACCCACATGCCAACACAGCATTTGCGTTTAACACTTCTTGGGGGAAAAAAAAACCATCAAATAACAACAACAAAAAATTCCAAGACCACTGGAATTTTTGTAACCAGTCTTCTCATTGCAGAAGGACTATCGTTCATACACAGAATCCACACACAGCAGCAATCCACCAATTCCCAAAGGCCCCCTTCCTTCCCTCTTTCCCTTCTGCACACTTCCTTTCCAGCTCTCCAACCAGTCTGCAGCGTTGGATGCAGCAGAACGGGGGGCGTCCCTGTCCGTCTTTTCCATGTTTCTCCCCATTTAAATAGGCAAGACAAATTACTTGCTTTTTTTCATGGTTCTTGAAAGATGTGACTCTCGGCTCGGGCTTCTCCTGAGTAAACAACATGGCAACAGGGAGATCCAAGCCTTCGAGTATCTTCTGACTTACTAGGCAGCCGTGGGCACAAAAACAATCTCAAGAAGCAGGCTGGATGGCAGAAGCTTCCAGATTTTAGATCTCCTTTTTTTTTTTTTTTTTTTTTTTTTTTTTGCTTCCATACTTTTCTCTCTCTCTTTTTTTTTAGATGGAGTCTCACTCTGTCACCCAGGCTGGAATGAGGGCAGTGGCGCCATTTCAGCTCATCACAACCTCTGCCTACTGGGTTCAAGAAATTCTCCTGCCTCAGCCTCCTGAGTAGCTGGGATTACAGGCACACACCACCAGGCCTAGCTTATTTTTGTATTTTTAGTAGAGACAGGCTTTCACCATGCTGGCCAGGCTGGTTTCAAACTACTGACCTCATTATCCGCCAGCCTCAGCCTCCCAAAGTGCTGGGATTAAAGGCGTGAGCCACCATGCCTGACCCCTATATTTTTCACATAGAGCCAAAACACTTGGTGACACGATTTTTCATTCTTGTATTCATGTGTCATAGGTCATGGCAAGTTCCCTGTAACTGAATTGTTACATTCGCTGAGAATTTTAACATTTCTTGTCTTTATATACCTATATTCAACTATGTATTCCCCATTTAATGATTGCATTGCCTCAAAGATGGTTGGGTTTTGGTTTGGTTTTGGTTTTGGTTTTTTACTCTTCAACCAGGAGTGAGGTAGGGGAGCAGGTGAAAGAGCACGGTCTAAGTTACAGCGATGTGACTTGGTTATCGTATCTAAGTTATCTTAATGTATACAGGTCAGTGGGGCCAACTTACCAGCTGTGACACTTCGGTGGTGTTCCCCACAACAATTTCACAGAGTGTCATTTCCCCCACATGGACATAGAGTCAACTAATATTTTTGAATCCATCATCTTGTGGTAAGAGCTTTTGTTACCTGGGATAATCAGAAAAAAATAATAAATAATAATAAATAAATAAATAACGCAGTGGCTCATGCCTGTAATCCCAGCACTTTGGGAGGCCGAGGTGGGCAGATCGCCTCAGGTTGGGAGTTGGAGACCAGCCTGACCAACATGGAGAAACCCCGTCTGTACTAAAAATACAAAATTAGCCGGGCGTGGTGGCGCATGCCTGTAATCTCAGCTACTCAGGAGGCTGAGACAGGATAATCCCTTGAACCCAGGAGGCAGAGGTTGCAGTGAGCTGAGATTGCACCATCGGACTCCAGCCCGGGCAACAAGAGCTAAACTCTGTCTAAATAAATAAATAAATAAATAAAAGCCCTGCAAGTCCTATAAGAGAGATTGCTTATCTGGCCAAGACCAACATGGGGCATGACTCCAGAAAGCATCGTTCATCACAGTTTGTGTCAATGTTGTCCCTTACAGCTGTGCAGAATGCAACCAGCATGGCCTGCAAGCACTGGCCATGTAAAATGTGGTATTACCTGCTCCGCATCTAAATGTGTTTTAAATAGGTATGTTGTGCCCATTACGTAAATCTACTTATACTAATTGCTAGGGAGGTTTTTTTTTTTAACACTTGGGGCTTTATGAAACAACAATGGAATGTGTTGAGATGAAGTGAATCTACACCCTAGAATACAAACTATTTATACTTTACTGTGCAATTAATAAAGTATTTATATTGCTCAAATTTCAGTTAATATGCAATGGTATTCTGCCAGAGAATGCCAATGACTTTCCTTAACCAGGAAATGCTGAATATCATTAGTTTATATTAGTAAGAATACTGGCCTTTCCTGCTGTGGTACAGATTCTCTTCTTGGTTTTTCATTTGGGTTTTTCTTTTCTTTTCTTTTCTTTTTTGAGACAGTCTCGCTCTCTGTCACCCAGGAGGCTGGAGTGCAGTGGCAGGATCTCAGCTTGCTGCAATCTCTGCCTCCTGGGTTCAAGCGATTCTCCTGCCTCAGCCTCCCAAGTAGCTGAGATCACAGGCGTGTACCACCATCCTTGACTAATTTTTGTATTTTTTTTTAGTAGAGACAGGGTTTCACCATGTTGGCCAGGCTGGTCTCAAACTCCTGACCTCAAGTGATCTGCTTGCCTCAGCTTCCCAAAGTGCTGGGATTACAGGCATGAGCCACCACACTGGGCCCAGATTCTCTTCTTTGAACTGCCCAGGGTTTGATGAAACTATTCTGTGTGTCCCACAGTGTTCTTGTCCAAGTTTGTCCTTGTTATGAGGATACTAGCCATTGGATCAGAGCCCACCCTAACGACATCACTTTAACTTGATTACCTCTGTAAAGATCCTTTCTCCAAATAATGGTATATTCTGAGGTACAGAGGGTAAGACTTCAACATCTCTTTTTTAGGAGAGACAATTCTACTTATAATATGCCTTATCCTGGAAATAGCGTTTCTCTTTTTTTTTTTTTTTTTTTTTTTTTTTTTTTTTTTTTTTTTTTGAGACACAGAGTCCCACTCTATTGCCCAGGCTGGAGTGCAGTGGCACAATCTCAGCTCACTGCAACCTCCACTCCCGGGTTCAAGTGATTCTCTTGCCTCAGCCTCCGTGTAGCTGGAACTACAGGTACCTGCCACCACGCCTGGCTAATTCTTTTTTATTTTTAGTAGAAACAGCATTTCATCATGTTGGCCAGGTTAGTCTCGAACTCTTGACCTGAGGTGATCTGCCCGCCTCGGCCTCCCAAAATGCTGGGATTACAGGTGTGAGGCACTGTGCCCAGCTGGGAATAGCTTTTCTTTGTTTGCTAAATATTGCAGTCTGGCTGTACCCTGAACAGCCCACTTGGCTCAGTCACTTGGGTTTTCCTTCTTTCTGCCAGATCAATCATTTGCTGCTGTTGTATCAATGAGTGTGATTAGAATTACCTCCCTTTGTTGAGAATACAGCCCTGTTAATGGTATAGAGTTCTATTGCCTTTTTTTTCCCTTTAAGCAGAAACATGGGCAGTATGACATTTTCTGTGAAAATCCAGCATAATAATCTTCAACTGGCTAAAGTTAGGGTTTACTATTAACTGTTTCACTTCCACTTAGATTTTGAAGTTTATGACTGTGACCCATAGGAGAATTTTGAAATCAATATATAGGATTCTGAATAGGATTTTCTGGAAGGCAGTATAATTTTTTTAAAAAAATGTTTTAATGTTTTACAAAATTAGGCTCTAAACTTAAACTTGGTAACTTACTAGCTTAAGCTAGGTATTTAAACATTTGAGCTTTATTTCCCTCTAAAAACCTAAAACAGGAATTAATAATAATAATAATAATAGTAACACTGGCCAGGCACGGTAGCTCATATCTGTAATCCCAGCACTTTGGGAGGCCAAGAGGGGTCGATTACCTGAAATCAGAAGTTCAAGACCAGCCTGGCCAATGTGAAGAAACCCCATCTCTACTAAAAGTACAAAAATTAGCCAGGCAGCACATACCTCTATTCCCAACTACTCAGGAGGCTGAAGCAGGAGAATTGCTTAAACCTGGGAGATGGAGGTTGTGGTGAGCTGAGATTGTGCCACTGCACTCTAGCCTGAACAACAGAGTGAGACTATCTCAAAAAATAAAGAAAGGAAAGGAGAGGAGAGGGGAGGAGAGGGGAGGGGAGGGGAGGGGAGGGGAGGGGAGGGGAGGGGAGGAAAGAGGAGGAGAGGGGAGGGGAGGGGAGGGGAGGGGAGGGGAGGAGAGAAGACTAGAACCTAGTGGAATTAAAAAGAAAAGAAAATGGCCGGGTGCGGTGGCTCACGACTGTAATTTCAGCACTTTGGAAGGCCGAGGTGGGCAGATCACAAGGTCAGGAGATTGAGACCATCCTGGCCAATGGTGAAACCTTGTCTCTACCAAAATACAAAAAATTATCTGGGCGTGGTGGCGCACACCTGTAGTCCCAGCTACTCGGGAGGCTGAGGCAGGGGAATCGCTTGAACCCAGGAGGCAGAGGTTGCAGTGAGCCAAGATCGCGCCACTGCACTCCAGCCTGGGTGACAGAGCAAGACTCAGTCCAAAAAAAAAAAAACAAAAAAAATGGAATGGAATGGAAAGGAAAGGAAAAAAGAAGAGGGAGGGGAGAGGAGAGGAGAGGGGAGGGGAGGGGAGGGGAGGGGGGAGGGGAGGGGAGGAGACAGACTCTATCTACATGGTAAGGATACATGCTTGTGGCAGCCATTCATGCTGTTCATCAGATGTTTTTAGTTTCTTTCCCAGGGTCATGATGAGATGGCGTTTCCCCACTCCTTGAAGTTAGGTGTTGCCAAATGACTGGGCCAATAACATGTGAGGAGAAGTGATGTGTATTGCTCCAGGTGAAGCTTTAGGAGCCACTACAGATTTGCTGTGCTCTTTCTCTCTACTGCGGATGCTGGTGACCTTTAGGATGGAGGCTTCCCCATCTTGAGTCCTGGGATTAAAAAAAAAAAAAAAAAAAAAAGGAGCAGGATCCCCAACCACCTCATGATGCCTAAGACACAAGCCAGAACAAAATTTTTATTGCTTTAAGCCCTTGAGATTTGGGGGTTGTTTATTACTGCAGCATAACTAAGTCGATCTGACTGTTTCAGTATGTTTTGGAAAACTTAAATTTCAATTATATATGTCATCAAACACATCATACAAAATGAATCACTCTCTCTCTCTCTCTCTTTTTTTTTTTTTTTTTTTTTTTTTTTTTTTTTTTTGATACAGAGTTTTGCTCTTGCTGCCCAGGCTAGAGGGCAGTGGTGCGATCTCAGCTCACTGCAACTTCCGCCTTCCGGGTTTAAGCAATTCTCCTGCCTTAGCCTCCTGAGTAGCTGGGATTACAGGCACCTTCCACCACACCCAGTTAATTTTTGTATTTTTAGTAGAGATGGGGTTTCACCATGTTGTCCAGGCTGTTTTCGAACTCCTGACCTAAGGTGATCTACCCACCTCGGCCTCCCAAAGTGCTGGGATTACAGGTGTGAGCCACTGAACTTGGCCCAAAATGAATCTCCCACTGTATGTTGTAAGCAAGAAGTTTGATAGCCATTAGTGTAAACTGCATTTTTATCTTATATCATTTATCATTTATCTTATATCATACTTACATCTTTTTAGTTATAAAAAAAGAGATTCATTTTGTATGATGACATATATAACTTAAATATAACTTTTATAGAGCATACTGAAACAGTCATATCGACTAGGTTATGCTTCAGTAATAACTCCCAAATCTGAAAGCGACCTGAGAAATCATTCTAGTTCAGTGCTCTGGTTTCAGAGATAAGACTACTGAGGCTAAAAGATGTCAAATAATTTATCTGAGTCCAGGCCTGATGGCTCACACCTGTAATCCCAGCACTTTGGGAGGCCGAGGCAGGAGGATCATTTGAGGTCAGGAGTTCAAGACCAGCCTGACTAACATGGCAAAACCCTGTCTCTACTAAACATACAAAAAATTAGCTGGGTGTGGTGGCACACACCTGTAGTCTCAGCTACTTGCAAGGCTGAGGCATAAGAATTGCTTGAACCCAGGAGGTGAAGGTTGCAGTAAGCTAAGACTGTGCCACTGCACTACAGCCTGGGTGACAGAGCAAGACTCCATCTGCAATAATAATATTGATGTATCTGAGGTCACAGTATAAAGGAGGACTATACTCAAACAGACATTTGATTTCCAAGCCAGTGCTTTATCATAACTCTGTGCTTTGGAGATAATCATATGAAAATGCCTTGAAAACTACAAAACCTCATAAGAATGCTAGGTAATGCCTGTATCACAAGAGGGGATAGAGAGTAAGGTGGTTAAGAACCTGGCTTTGTCAAACCTGGTTTCAAATCCTAAAGAACATTATTTAATCTCTCTGAACCTCTATTTTCTTATTTGTGAAATGAGGATGCTTTTCTTTATCTCTTACTTTCTCATGAATAAATGAGATGAGGAATGAAAAGTTCTTAGCACAATACCTGGCCCACAATGTGTT